TGAGAGTTATTTTTAACGCCATATAGATGTTGGCACTCACCGATATGGTATTTATCACCTCCCAAAATTTGAAAACGATTGATTCAGCCGTCTAGGAGGAGTTTGCGTATTACGAAATGCATAAAAGTCAACGTATAAGAGCTTCGCTCGCTTCGCTCAAAAATTAACCTATTTCCACTGATTTAAAAGGTGTTTTTAAAAGAATGCTGGGATTTTAAATGATAATTGTTTGTGTACTTTTTAAGGTAACTACACGTTTTATACGTCAAATTGAAGCTAAGATAACTAAGTTTTATTTCCCTTGCAGCAAGGGAGGAAACTTTGGACTTAGCATGCGCAAAACAGGTGCGCGGTGGTAGGCCTTTATTGTGACTCATGCGCTTGACGCCAGTCTCCAGTACGACGGTTTACGGCACAACAGAAGACACAGATTGCAATCTGTGGTTCGCATAGTTTATATATATTGCTAAATTAAACTAAATTTAAATCTACTTGATGATAAAGAAACTTAAAGTTGGTTTAATGAGTTTCGTGGCACCGAAGTGTTTTGAAAAGAAATTCACCTGGCTAAAAACAAGCGATGACATAGTCGAAGAAATCCGACAATTCTGCATCAGATGCTCGAAAAAATCGATTGCCCGACGAAGTCTTCAGTTGAACTTTATGATGTTATCTATAAAAGATGGAGTCGTTGTGCCAAAAAATATTGAGTTAAGGCATTAGATAAACCCGCCGATCGCCTTAAAGCGTACAGACTTTGTCAGTTATATGCCAATATAAGATTGATGAATTAAATCATTCGGAATTGTATCAAATAATGAGAAAAAACCTTATTCTTTTCCCTTCAATTTGACGTTCAAATCATTTAATTATCTTGAATAGTCCCCGAGCAACGACCGTTTGAAATCCCGGCATTCTTTTAAAAACACCCTAATGTCTTAATCCTTTTGTACATTTCAATATTCATTTACTAAGATAATTGCCAATGCATAGGTGTTTTGCGAGTGCTTTTGTTATGTTATTCCACTAGGTAAATAAATATACATACCAAATCCCATCCTTGTACCATAATGACCTCAGTATGGGATTATTATGGTAGTCTATCAACGAAAGCACCAGCAGTATACAATTTAAAATGTCACAGCAAACATAAATGTAAAGGAAAAGTGTTGTTAACGGTATGAAACTGTTCATAAAATTCCAATTTTTAAATACAAATAATAAAATAAATTTAATATTAGTTTATTTAAAACTTTTTTAATCGCAATTTATGTTTTTTACAAATTTTCTAATTTATTTTCTAAATATTGCATTTTATGGCTAAACGGTTAATTATATCGAAATATTTTAAATACAAAAGTTGTAGCTCGTTCTTTGGCGAACATTTTGTACATTTAATGTTTTTTTATAGGATGAATAGTTTTTGAGTAATCGGGGAAAAACTGGTTTTTGGACGTCATTTTCCAAGATGGTGGCCATAGCACAAGTTTTTTTTTCGAGGACTTTTGGTATGTTATTCTGGAAGGAAATTTCAATATACGTACCATGTTTTACACTTATAAGAGTTTTTTTAGGTAATGGGGATATTTTGATTTAAAATGACTACACTATATTACTTTTTTACTTTCTCCCCCTATACCATAGTATATGGAGAAAGTATTGTTTTCGTCAAAATTTTCGAGTTTGAGTTTTGAGTGGATATATTCGTTTTGGGTCCCCCTGGACCCAAAAAAGTGGTTTTTGAAGTGATGTCTGTGTGTGTGTGTGTGTCTGTGTGTCTGGATGTGTACAGAGCTAGAGACTACACCTGTGGTCCGATTTTGATGAAATTTGGTATGTAGGTTCATCCATGGTATCTCCAGGCGTTTTTTTCATTTTTTTGAAATTTTTATTTTTAATGGGGATTTTCCCATAAAAACCCATAAAAAACCGGAAAAATCGGATTTTCTCAAAAATGGCCCAAACGATTTTGATAAATATTTAGTATGTTGTAGCCCTTTAAATTCTGAACAAAATGGTACAAATGCCATTTCTGTAAAAATTACGGTTCAAAAGTTATGTTAAATTATGTTATTTTCCCATAAAACCCCATAAATAACAAAAAATAGGATTTTGGACAAAAAATCCTGTTTTGATTTAACATAGTATGTTATGGTCCTTACAATTTTGATAGTTTTTTTTTTATTTTTTATCAATTTTGATTTTTAATGGGGATTTTCCCATAAAAACCCATAAAAAACCGGAAAAATAGGATTTTCTCAAAAACGGCCCGAACGATTTTGATAAAAATTTAGTATGTTATAGTCCTTTGTATCCTGAACAAAATGGTACAAATCCCATCTCTGTAAAAATTACGGTTCAAAAGTTATTGTAAATTATGTTATTTTCCCATAAAAACCCCATAAAATAACGGAAAATCAGATTTTTCCAAAATTAATTGGCTCGAACGATTTTGATAAGAATTTAGTATGTTATAGTCCTTTAAATTCTGAAGAAAATTGTACAAATCCCATTTCCGTATATTTAATCTCACCGCTTACACATGATAAAGGTTGTTGACAAACTTATGGGAGAAAGTATGTGTCAGAATTCTGATACCGTTTATTGCAATTATGATGACATAGCTAATTTGAATAATATAAATATATCAGTTATATTTATTTTTTTAATTTAATAAATCAATTCTGGTACTGTGCGAACGTTTGATTATTTACTTTTTTCTATTGTTAAGGTGCAGTAGAACAGTATGGCTATGGTAGATGTGTAATACTATAGCATACGGTAAATATAAAGAACCACATTTTCCCAAACCTTATCCTCTCCCATTGCAAACGCAAAGCACGAGAATAACTACAATAATCATTTTATACTTATACGCCAACCTCGTACGATCTACGAGGAACGGGTACTCTACTAGTAGCATTATGAAATGAAATAATATATGTTTATTTTCCATATACTAAACAGCATGAACAAAGTACACACTTTTAAAATACATAATTAGCCTATAAAATATAAACTAAGATACAAATAAAAGGAAAATTTCTGCATTACTTAATTGATTTATAATAAGAAAATCAGCAGACATAGGCAAGTGCTGCCTGTGCGTCTGCTGGGTTGCTATTAGAAAAAAAAACCCTATGGAGTTATAAAGCTACAAGATTTACCAACAGGGTGAATTGCTATTATTTTTTTGTATGAATGTATGACAACAGCTAATTTGAACTAAGCAGCAACAAGCTGTAATGAGAACTATCAAATTAGGATTGTTTAAAGTTATGTTCATGTTCTTAATTCAATAAAAAATCTGTGTTGTGGTGCGAATAGGGCAATTTAATTTTTTAAGTGCATAATTTATCAACTTATTGACTTAATTTTTTCCAAAATCATTATAAACAAAAATTGTGCTTGTTTTCCCCCAAAGAAATTTCTGGGATAAATGGATTAGCACGTTCGTAATTTTAGTGCATTACTGATCAAAAGTTAATGTCTTTGTCTTGGATGGAAGGAACTAATATTATAGATATGAATGTTTGGAGTATGTCAATAGTGAAAACTGTTTGACCAATTGAGCAGATTTTTCCATGAATAGAGCCAATATATGCAACCACAAGCTTAAAGGACATAGTCATATTTTATTTTAATACTCTGGCAGCTTTTTAAGTCCAATGTTGTTCTTGTTCTTTTAAGTAACCATCAATAGCAAATCAATAGTTAAATAAATAAATGTGTTAGTATATAGATAAAGTATACTGTAGGCTATGTATAGGGTTTGTAATCATTTTCATGGTTTAGTGTTGGTAGAAATATTTTGTTTTAGTACCACCTAGGTCCAAACAGTGTTATTGGTATATTGTATGTTTTTGCGCTTGTGAGAGGTATGGAACAGAGAAGTTCAGCAAGTTAATACCAATATTAACAAGTACTAGGTAGCAAGCTACATTTTAACTTGAAAGAGGGAATTTAAGTAATTTTGTAAACTAAATTTTTTACATACAGTGCAACACATACTGATACTTCTATCTATCGGTTGGCCATTCAAAGAGATTGCCAAGAGGTGAGAATTATAGTTCCAAGTTCAGAATAAGAACATTTCCAACCATTGTTTGAAAAACGATGTTCAGCAACATATTTTTGTTGGGTTTATCTATGAAAAATAACTATTTCGCTACACACCTGTGAAATATGTTTTCGTTGCATGTTTATCACCTGAGAAAATCTATCATTACATTGTTTACTACGGCAAAAGAATGTTTACTATCCGGAAGTAATGTTAACTATCTTTTTTGGATTTTGCCGACGTAAACAAACAAATATTTGTTATTAATTATCAACTGTCTCCATTTTCAACAACTAAAGTAAACATTAACTTAAATTGAAGGCATAACCTAACACATTCTATGAGTTTTTGTAAAGAAGAAAATAATTATTCTTTGTAGTGTAGCGAAAAGTAACGTTCAAAACACGAGTGAAAGTGGGTCTATACGAATTCTCGACCATTTCTCGATAAATCTCGCACTTCAAGCATGGTCTCAAATATGTAATGTCTCACTTTCTAATCTGGTTATGAAATATACTATTGCGGTACTGTTTATTTCTGACAAAATATTTTATGAAATTCTTTGAACTCTGTTAGTAAATCTAACACATGAATTCCAATGAAATTAAACGATAAAAAATATATACCTATATATAGGTACTTCAAAACATGAGAAAATTCAGTTTGATTTCTTATTTTATCACAAAACACTGATATTTAATTGCATTTCTCTAAACTAGTTCACTATTTAAGGTCATGAAAATAAGTTAACAATATACTAACGAACAGCTTAAGCAATAATTAACAGTCAGTAACAAGACTACAAGATCGTGTCACTCGTCCTAACTCATTTTCATTCATACTTGGTTAAAAATACCGACTTTCATTACATTGGTTTTGTAGGGACAAAAAGCTTGAATATAGTTGACAAAATTTATTATTTTTACAATGGCACACGTACCTATCATTGCAAGCACCACCGTGGCAAAGTAGAATGCCCCTGCAAACTTCCATTGAGGACCAGCTTTGTGCGGTTTGTTCTCTATTATGACAATTTCAATCATCTTGTAGTCTTCTTGAGTTATATTATATTTTGTCAACAGTTTATCCCGTAAATCTAGAAAAGAGGTGTATACATATGATATAATGGTGGCTTCTAATCACAAACCAATAATAGATAACAACAAGACCAGGGTTTGAACTCTTTTCAGACATTGACATTAAATAATGTATTACATTCTAGTGACATACAATAGAGCACCAAACAAGATAAACACTTAATTATAAATAAAAGTTAGTATACTTCATCACGAGTTTTGAAAACAATTGCAAATCCTATTGCATGTCTAATAAGAGCTATGTTTGTTTGTTTGTCTGTCAGTAATATATATCTCATTATATTCTCATTATATATGCGAGGGAGGTTCGTGGACAGGCCCCCCCTGTTTCAAAAAAACCCAGGCCGAGAAAGCCAAGGGCTGAGGCAATCCTGATCAACCCCTTAGGGGGGCGATCTTTTGCTGAAGTCTTGGGTCGACTCAAGTCTAAGGCCAAGCCAGAGGAGACGGATACAGTCGTTAAGTCGATCAGATGTACCCAGAACAGGAAAGTCCTCCTCGAGCTGGGGAAATCTGGCGACCGAGTGGCTTTTGCTGCAAAGGTCAGAGAGGCTCTGGGGGACCACGGTACCGTTCGGGAACTCGAGCCTAGAACCTCTGTGGAGATCCGGGACCTTGACGGTCTTTCGACGGAGGCTGAGGTCAGGGAGGCGATCAACAAGGCCATCCCTGATATCCAAAATGCCGACTCCCTTAAAGTATGGCTTACGCAGCCCAACCGCAGAGAGCAACGCATAGCTATCGCTGAAATGCGAAACCAAGATGCCAGCAAGCTGCTCAATCTCACACACCTGAGAATTGGATGGGTCAATTGCAGGCTCAGACGGAGGGTGGTCGTACCGCGATGCTTTCGCTGCCTCGGGTTTGGTCACTTTTCCCGAAACTGTAAGGGACCCGACCGAGCCAAGAATTGTTTCAGGTGTGGCGGCTTGGGCCACAACAGGAAGAACTGTACCGCAGCAGAGCGCTGTTTTCTCTGCGCAGAGAAAGGCCATAAGGACGATTCATTAGGTCATACCCCAGGGGCTGGGCGATGCAGTGTTTTCAAGGCTGCACTCGACCTTGAGAAGGCTAGGTCTAGGAAGTGAGGATTCTCCAGGGTAACCTTGAGAGGTCCAGGACGGCTGACTCCCTTTTAGATCAGCTGGTCCAAGAGATCGGTGCGGACACCCTTCTGATCAGCGAGCAGTACCGTGACAGGGACTCACGCTTCTGGTTCCCAGATTCTCTCGGAACTGCCGCTTGTTGGGTTCGAAACAGCACCGAAGCACCAGTGCGAGATCACGGACGCGGCCGAGGCTTCGTTTGGGTCAGGTGTAGGGACGTCACGCTTTTTAGTGTCTACCTTACCCCCAACGAGCCAATTCGGGAATTCCGTCTGAAGGTTGACCGCTTAGAAGACAGTGTACGCGGTACCGTTGGGCATGTCGTTGTTGCTGGTGATTTTAATGCGAGGGCTGTGGAGTGGGGCATGACCTCTACAAACTCCCGGGGGAAATACATCCTGGACTTTGCCGCCAGGGCTGGACTTGTCGTCTTAAACGAGGGCGACACGCCTACTTTCCGGCGCCCCGGCATGAGAGGTTCGATCCCCGATATCTCCTTCTTGTCGGAATCACTACTAGCACGGATCTCCAACTGGAGAGTCATCGAAGACCTCACGGCAAGTGATCATCAGTACATCGTTTTTGATATACTGGATGAACACCATAATCAAGCGCCCGTATCACGATCTGGGCCACGCCGATGGAATACGGACAAGCTGGACGTTGAGAAGTTCACTGACGTAATCTCACGGGGAGCGCTGGTGAATTCTGCTGCACCTGTTGACGCCGAGGCATTGGTAACGTCCACGATGGAACTGATTGTCTCGGCTTGTGACCAGGCCATGCCACGCAGGGGACGCCGTCGCGATAAGCAAGCTGTGTACTGGTGGACCTTAGAGATCTCGAACCTTCGGAAAGCTTGTCCGAAAGCCAGACGTGCCGCTATGAGGGCCAGAAGATTCCCGGATTTCGAGGCTAAGTCAGCGGCTTATAGGGCTGCGAGGAAAGCTCTCCGTCGGGCTATCATCGGGAGCAAGGTTAGCTGTTGGAGGAGGCTTCAGGAAGATGTCGACTCTGATCCTTGGGGACTGGGCTACAAGGTTGTGACCCAGAAACTCGGCGCCCGATCACCACCTTCCGTCATGGAGGGCACCACCATGGACGGGATCGTCACCGCCCTTTTTCCGTCTCATCCTCGGCGACCTTTTTTCGACTATGGCGAGGTAGGGGACATTCCACTCTTTAGCATTAAAAAGCTGGAATCGTCTGTCCTCTCCCTGAAAAATAGAAAGGCACCTGGTCCTGATGGTATTCCCAGTGAGGCTCTCAAGAAGGTATTCTCGGTTAACCCCCTCTTACTGCTGAGAATGTACAACACATGCCTGTGCAAAGGGGTTTTCCCAACTCCTTGGAAAAGGGCTAGGCTTGTGCTAATCAGCAAGAGGAAAGGTGACCCGAATATGCCGTCGTCTTACAGACCCCTCTGTATGTTGGATGCGGCTGGAAAACTTTTCGAGAAACTGATCCGCTGCCGACTGACGTCTGCCGTGGAAGCTGCCGGAGATTTGTCTCCTCGTCAGTACGGCTTCAGAAAGGGTCGGTCAACAATCGACGCGATATCCGAGGTACACAGAGCGGTAGAGCGTGCCGAGAGCTTCAATCATTACTCTCGCCGTGTCGTGCTTCTTGTTACGCTAGATGTCAAGAACGCTTTTAACTCGGCGAGATGGGTCGATATGTTGAGCGCGTTGAGGAACAGCTTCCGCGTACCAGCATATCTGTTGAGGCTGATCGAGGACTACCTGCGCTGCAGAACTCTTAATTACGAAACTAAAGATGGTTCGCGGACGATGGATGTTACTTCCGGTGCCGTGCAAGGTTCGATACTCGGCCCAGATTTGTGGAACGCTGCCTACGACAGCCTTCTGAGATCTGAGATGCCAGAGGAGACCGTTTTAGTTGGGTACGCCGATGACGTTGCAGCCCTCATTGCTGCACGCAACGTTGAGCTAGCCCAACTGAAACTGAACCAAGTCATGCGCGTTGTAAATGCCTGGATGACTGATCATGGTCTGACACTCGCTCTGAGCAAGACAGAGATCGTCATCCTCACGAAAAAACTGATCGAAACCATCGTTCCGCTACGCGTTGGGAACGTAGTTGTCCAAACCACGCGAACCGCCAAGTACCTCGGTGTCATGGTGGACAACAAGTTGAGCTGGAGGGACCAGATCTTCCGTACGGCGGACAAGGCTGCTAGGAGTGTCGCTGCTCTTAGTAGGCTTATGGCCAATGTCGGTGGTCCCCGGTCCAGCCGTAGAAGACTATTGATGTCTGCAGTCCAGTCTGTGCTTCTCTACGGCTCTGAGGTGTGGGCAGACGCGCTTAACAAGGAGGCGTACAGGTTGAGGCTCGCATGAGTGCAGCGTCAGGCGGCACTCAGGGTCGCTTCCGCGTACCGTACGGTGTCCGAACCGGCCGTTTTGGTGATTGCCGGAGTTATCCCTGTCAAACTCTTGGCAGCGGAGAGGAAGGCAATCTACCAGAGACAAGGCTACATCGGAAAGGACGCTGCAAGAACGGAAGAGCGCTCCCGCACTTTTCAGATGTGGCAAGAAAGCTGGGAAGGGGAGACTCGAGGACGTTGGACTGCCAGACTCATCAGACAGGTCCAACCGTGGGTGGAACGGCGGCACGGTGAGGTTGACTATTACCTCACGCAGTTCTTGTCAGGTCACGGCTATTTTCAGTCGTACCTGCACTTGATGGCCAAAACGAATTCACCTGACTGCATTTACTGCCCATGCATTCCCGACGACGCGGAACACACTTTTTTCCGCTGTCCACGATGGGATATGCTTCGCCAGGAGGCCATTTAACATCTTGGGGTGCTGTCGATTGAATCGATTTGTGAGACCTTGCTGAAGGGTGAGGACAACTGGGACTGTTGGTCGCACTTTGTCCGGAATGTCCATCAAGCTAAAAAGAACGATCTAGATCGGATGATAGTCTAGATTTTATAAGAAATAAACGGCTAGACACGGTGTAAGCCCCTCGGGCGTAGGCAAACTCGGCCTAGTTCTGATGAAGTGCGACAAGTGTTCCCAGGCTAGTGTCCGAAGAGTGGAGGAGGTTTTTAGTGGGTAGTCTCTGGGCCTTAAGCCCGTTGGAGTCCCACACTACAGGCTAGCCACCTGTGTGCATAAATGCATTTTCCCACCTCTCCCTAAAAAAAAAAAATATATATATATATCTCAAAATCCATCGGAAGAACGTTGACAAAATTTTGGAATTAGGGTCTTATAGCCCTAAAAACGTGATTGGTGACAGACAGCCAATACCTAAGGACAATTCGTATTTCGCTACACAACTCATTTGAACATTTAAAAATCTAACCTTGGGGGTTTGTTGCTAAGTAAATATGTTGGTTGAACAAAATAACAAGGAAATACCCCCGCCGCAGCAAACATGCCGGCTAAGCGAATATTCATTTGTCTGAATTGATTTTCAATTAAATCTATTTAAATAACATTAGGTTTAACGAGTACCTAGGTTTGCTGCTACAAGGAAACTAATAAAGGGTATTTCTTTGTAAAATATTAATAGCTTAGTATAAAATAAATAAATTTGTTAAGTCTAATCAAAATATATCCATAACAATTAAGCAAACTACCTACAACATTTTACTTAATTCTCGATGACTAGCATATTTCATAGTTTATCTAAGTTGATTGCGTTTTAGAATGATGGTAGCTGTGATTGATATGTACTTACCCTGTAAGAACTCCCATCGTTTACGCTCTGTCTCTGACTCTAGAGAGTCAAAGACAGCTGCTCCTACTAGCAGATAGGTAAAGGTACAAACAACCAGAGACAGTGTGCGCACATTTTGTTTCTTCATCTGGAACACAAGTTATAAACAGGTTACAACAAAGCTCATAACTTTATTTTAGATACTTTATTGGTAAGAAGGTTATACCACCTCCTTAAAACCGAGAGAAGTTTTTTCCTCACTAAGCATAATAATTTATAATTACAGTACTAATAATAATAGATTAAATTCCTTATTTACGTCTTCAAGCCATGGTACATTGCGTATTTCCATCCATGGCGTATTTTATTTACGTCTTCAATCCACGGATTATAGACGTAAATAAGGTATTTAACCTATTATTATTAGTAGGTACTCTTTATCAACCCAGGAGGCAAAACATGGATAAAAAATTATAATTACAATTATAATTTGTTTCCCAATGATCCCATATTGTCAAAATACCCTTACCGTAGCAAACCTGCAGGCTAAGCAAATTTCCATTTATATCGCTGGATCTCCGCTAAAGTTTTCCCCTTAAAATTACCAGATTCATTCCCTATTTAAAAAACAATATTTTTATTTAGTGCAGAGAAGGTAATGACATGTGTTTTTAGTTTAAATGTTGTGATAGCTTAATTATAAAATACACAAACACGGCAAATTTGATTTAAACATATCCATAAACAATTAAACTAAAACAATTTAATTATTCTCCATAAGAATAACATACAAATGGGAATTTTGAATTTTAAAATTTTTTTATTATATCCGTAATTGTTAGGCATACAACAACACTTCAATGTACTAAATTATTTCTTTTTTTAATTCTTCAAAATGGTTTGGAAAGAAATTGTAAAATATGTTTTTTGGCTAAAATGGGAACCCCCAATTTTTACCCCATTAAACACCCCATAAACCCTCGGTTCCCATAGCTCGATCATACTGGTTCGCAAACTCCTTCGAGTAAATGTAGGTTTACAAGTTTTTACCAAATTTAATCAAAATATGATAATTTTTTTGTGTTGCTAACGGACACATATACAGTTATTTGTTTACAACAATATTGATCGTCATTCGTCAGTGTTTGCCTACAAACTATTTCACTTTAAAATTTAGTTTTTTCCTACCGTAAAGGATCTGCATTATCAGGAAATGTGTAATTTTGAACTATATATCTCAAACACGTGCGTATAATCAAGATTTGTCCTCAACGCAATCAGTGTAACAATGCAATGTGTGTGTGTATATATTGCATTTTATGCCATGAAAATCTTATTATTAAATTTTAATATTTTTCATCAATCTATTGCTTAACCGTTTAAGATATAAGTGGTTTACGTGTTGATATTTCTTTTTTATGATGTTTGAATGTGTCATGTTGGCATACCAAAATTTTGGCCAGGGCCGATTTACCAAATATGCCCGGTTACCGAAAGGCACGTCCGGTACCTAGGGCGCGAGGCAATTGGGGTTTTTTTGGGTGCCGGGGCGCTGACAAAAATTGGGAAAAATGGTGGTTTGGTACATCCGCCAAAGCTTTTAGTAACAAAATTTAACCTTAATGGCCTTTATAGAAACGTGTGTGGCTTTTAAATCTGGCAAGTAATGGAAACCATCATTTTGTCATCTCCTTTATTTACATATATTTTTTCTTTATTTTTAAAATTTCAATCTTGAAGTTTCAAAACTTCTAATTAATAAATGTGAATGAACAAATTGTTATGTCAATCTTCTTCAAATTAAATCACAAATCCTTCCATCTTTTTTTTATTTTTTTTTTATTTGTAAACAATCTGTTCTATAAATATGTTCTAACAATAAGTAAATGCCATGCAATACACCAAACTTACTTATGAGCATTAAAAATAGCTGTTAAGCAACTGTCAACAACAAATTCTAAGAGAAGCAAATGGTAAGTAAAGAAAAAGGAGATGGCAATACTTTAGTAGTTAACTTATAACGATGGGTAAACATCATGAGGTTTATTGATCAATAACATTTACTCATGTTTTATGTTGTAATCTATAATATTTTTCTATAAAAAAAAATATATTTGTAAACAAGGTTATTTGTTTACATTGATGCTCACTCCACTCAATTGGCAGACTGGCAGACATGACGTCGCATACCTAGTTACATTAATTTGCTAAAAGTACTTGTAGTCCACTCTATTACCATTTTCCCGTATATTTATTCCATACAGCACAGATTTTTTAAAAACTTTACAGAACTTCACTGAACAAAAGTTGCGTAGAACAGAAGTTGGCATGCGATCGGGGTAAACTTCTATTCCCTCCGTGTAGACATCGTAATCGTCTCCCGCGATTTCGGCAAAATGTTAATTATTTCTCGCGAATTTTGCAGAACTTTGTCGTGATCGTGGAAATAATCTGACTGTTTCTCGCGGTCGTGTAGACATAATTATCGTCTTCCACGATCGCGGCAATAAATGAACATATCCGCGGCCGTGAGTATATTACCATCGTCCATCATCTACCGCGAGTCGTGAATGAGTCAAAATTTGATCCTTACCCGTGGTCGTGTGCACATTGTTATCGCCTTGAGTGATCGCGGTAACATTCTGATCATCCCCCGCGGCAGTGAAGACATCGTTATATCGTCTTCTGTGGTCGTGTGAAGATCATCTCCTTCTGCGATCATGGCAAAATTCCGATCATCCCTTGCGTCATGCGCGATCGAGGTGAATTTAATATTCCAGGTAGAAATACAAATTCACGCATAATTCCCGGTTAAAAAAACTTACTGGATTTCCCAGTTTTCCCAGTCGATGGACACTGTTATATATATTTATTGCAAAGGGGCGCTACAATTAGTTTTGCCTTGGGTAATTTGCCTTGGGTAAACCAACAGGGTCAAAAAGAGCCTGATTTTGGTTGGAAATAAAAATGTCAACCGGTATAGTAGGTTTATAAAAACTGTCCGATAAGCTGCAGGGTGTCAGTAGAAACCAAAATCGATTCATACCTTACCATAACTATTCCAGTAGTACTGTATGGTTCAGAAACTTGGGCACTGACCAAAGAATCGAAAACCCTTATTTCTGGGTTTGAGAATAGAGTGCAGAGAAAATATACGGACCAGTTTAAGATAACAGAGAGCTAAGCGAAATGTATCGTAAAATCACTCAGATATAGGGGTGGTTTACCAAAAGTAAAAGGCTCGGATGGGTAGGCCATGCATGGTGGAGAGAAGATACATCCATTTTTTAAAGTGTATTCCAAGGAGCACCACAAGGTAGACGAAGACTTGAAAGACCAAGAATGAAGTGGAAAGACCAAGTAATGAAAGACATCTCCAGACTGGGATCTAAACTTGGAAGAGGCAGAGGATAAAAGAGAATTAGAGAATGGGAGGCCAGAATACTCTTAGGGTTTCAGTGGCCACGTAGGTTAGGTAATTAAGGTAATTGATTGTATGCAAAGGAAGGTGGTTTGTAATATGTAGCTACTGTACTTAAAAACTGTGTGTGTGTGAATCAGCAACCAATTTAACTTCAAGGCTTTTCAAATCGACTCAATTGTTGATTTATTGTAAAATTATCGGACATAAAATGCATATCGTATAGGCCTATAATCGGATGAAAGAAAATGGGAGATCACGTGACATTTGTTTACAAGATGATTTATCCCATTCAAACTGCCAGAATCTGTCTTTATAAACTAGCTGTTCTGAATTATATTCAGTTTTAATCACGTTTTAATGGAATACTCGGTTCCCGTACGTAGAATGGGCCAACAATTCGTAGTTTTAGCGAATTTCCCATATAGGGAATAAGCTATTTTTTTAATACGTGATATGTCCTTTACTTGAAACCTATATTAACTGACCATGAGACCAAGTATTACCGGTATTTAAATTGGGACATAAAAAATATGAAGTTTCATTGTTGTGTCAGATTAAACTCTACTATAATTTGCTGACACAACATATTGTTTATTTGCATCATAGCCTTTTCAGAAATTTTCATCAGATGTCCTGTACTGGATTTCTAGCACACACAACCATTTTTCAGGAACTTCCTTCGCCATTCACAAAATTTGGTAGTGCCGAGGTGGCTGCATCAAATGTTTGTCAAAACATTCGTTGCACTTGAGTTATTGATTCTTGTTTTAGTAAATTTCAAAATACTATATTATTAGTTTTTTAGTCATTATTTTTCCAATTACAAGACAGACACTAATTTAATAAACTAGGATTGTTTTCATAAGAGTGAAAGCCAGTTGAGCGTATCTATCACGTTTCACGGTTTTTAATAAAGCAATAAATTAAAACAACATTTAAAGGATATAATACAACTATTGAATCAAATTAACTTATCAGTTTGTCTCATAACCATGAAGTTTAATTGTGATCAACACACCATGAAGATCAAGTGTGTTGTCAACACGATACTACTGTATCATCAAAAAGATTTCAAATTTTTCAATAGGTTGGGAAGTACGGTATAGAACGCGTTGTTTAAACTCGGTGGTAAACCGCGTGTTTTGTTGATACAGTAACAGCCAACTCACATAAACATTAATTTAACAATATGCTTTATTAGTTAAAAACCGCTTATTACAATTGTTTGTTTTAACTATCATTTACATAAGATCAATATTTATATTATATAGTATATATATTTTGTTGTGATATAACCCAGTTTCAAGAACTGGGTATATTTTTGCTATCACGTAGTTAGTCGACATTGACACACTCAAACGTTTCCACATGAAACAAGCATTAAAAAGGGTTTAAATTTCACTATAGTAATTCAATAGGTTTAGTAGCACTGTTTAAAGTAAATAGTAAGACCGCATGTTCATAATAACCTATTTAGATAATCTATATATTATTATATAGATAATATATTAATTAGTATTAATAATTAGTATTAATATATTATATAGATTAATATATTAATACACAGTTGTAACACTGTTTTCTCAGTTATTACTGGACCGATCTACAAGGTGTATGTCTCAAATTAAAGGATGTAATGCATAGATTTGCCGAACTTCCTTAGAATTTACGTTTTTTTCTAAGGGCTAAGCACTACAGCCCTTCAAAGGTCGAGTCAATACAATTCTTATTGAAGATTATAATACACAGTTTATACATGATTTGTCAGCTGTTTAATGTTTGTCAGACATTTGTAATTATTTTTATAACCTCACTTTCGGTATGTAATTATTAATCTGGAAGTTCCTGTTAAAAACAGACACGATTTCGATCAAGGAAAAATGTATTTGTTAACTTATTATACCAAAATATGTTATTTAAACAATATTTGTAGCCTATGTTTTGGTGTAAAATTTGTATTTTCGTATACTGTATTAGTTTTCCTGCTAACTGATTTGAAGGAAAGTGCTAATTGATTTTAGGTTTGAGCATGGAACATGAAATGATACCCAAAGTAGGGGAGGAAAACTGTTTATTCCGATCAATATAATTTATTTCCTACGGCCACCAGAACAATCATAGTGAAATCCGCTTGCAGATTGTGTAGAAAATTGCTAATATGTGGGAAACATACAAACATTTTATCATAAGTGATCAATATTACTCAAGGTAAGTGTTTGGCGTTAAGAAGTACCAAACTTTACCTTCTGGAGATGGCGATTACGAATACGTGTAACTATAATATAATTTGTATTTTCGAAATATGTGTTACTTTTCATGCAAAATGATCCAAAGGAAAGTGGTAATTGAGTTTGAGTTAGGGTATGGATGGAACGCGAAATAATACCGAAAGTATGGGACGGAAACTGTTTGTTCCGATCAAAATCATTTATCCCACCAGAAAAATCATGGGGAAATCCACTTGCAAGTTGTGCAGATAATTGCTAATGAGTGGGAAACATACAAACATTTTATCGTAGGTGATGATGAATCTTACTTAAGATCAGTGTTTGACGTTCAGTAGTACACTGAACCTCACCTGATCTTTACCTTCTCGAGATGGCGAGTATTCTGGATATGTAGAACTAAAATTTATCAGTGAACTATACCCTAACTATTTTTTTTCCAGTAGGCACACAGGGAAGTTGCTTGAGAAACTGTGACTTACGATTTCGGTACTGGCGAAAAAAGTGTGTGATTTGATGTTTAAAGGCAAATTTGACTCGGGTCATTACAGTGTTATACAACTTTTTAATAATCCCCAGGGTGTGAAAAGTACAACAAGAAAAAGAAAAGGTGGAAACTGTGCGTAAAGAGACAACCAGAACGAAAAAAACTTGGAGAACCACGGAACTAAAAAGTAAATAACAGTGATGGTGTTAAATCTGCTCTAGAAGTTCCTAAAAAAACGCCAACTCTTTTAAATTGGGGTCGTTAGATTGGATTTATTACTACTGCAAATCTATGAATTTAGAGTCAGAACAGACTAACAGGGACACGTCACAAGTATTTTCTCCTTATGTTGTCACAAAAAAAAACTATTTGAATTATATAAGATCTTACAACTCTGCATTTGCAGCATTTGCAATGGTGAGTTTATAAGTCTCACTTAGATGAATCATCATTCTGGTAGTCTATATAATTTTAAGATCCGGGGCTCCGTTTACCATCGGATTCGTTACCCTCTAACATTGAACCAAAGTATGCCCAACTTTATATTATAGCCTATACGACGTATACGCAGCTGTTACTCACCGAATGGGTCAAAGATCCGTGAAATACGGCCAACTGCTGATGCGTGATTTAAATTACTATCTTTATTCCAACGAATGTAATGAACAAGAAAACAATGAATGTAGGAATATAGGTACATTAACAAATTATCTCCATAGCATAAGTAGCTTATTAGGTTATCAATATGTGCAGTTCATACACCATTTATTTTTCAAATGTAACTCGAGTTAATTTAAAAAATTCATTTGGCTAAACTAATATATTGGTTTGATTAACATAAATAGTTTATACAGGCCCAACTATCCGTTCTACTTCATAAAAAGCAGTCCCTAAATAAAATACAAAGATTAACAGTATTTGTTAATTATTATGTCTTTTATTTTATCTATTTTTTTTTTCTTCAATTTGTAATATTATTATTTCCTGATAGCGGAAATCTCTCACGCACGGGTAGTAGCCTGTGTGAGAGGCATTTCATATTTAATGACTACGTTAGTATATTATTTTATTTATTTATATCATTGCATAACTATGAAATTTTTACTGGCAAAGTATTGTAACAATGTATTTACTTACTCAAATAAACATGATTTTAATTTGATTTGACAATATTCCCGTGGCGGAGCACGGGCGGCTAACTAGTACTATTTAATTGAGAATACATTGTTATTCAAAACTTCTGATTCATATAGTTGTTTAAATTCCCAATCACATAAGATAAATATATTTTTTTAGATTAGATAAATAACATCTGTAAAATACTTGTGTGTAATAAAGTGGACTGAATTTTATAGGTAAAAATAATTGAGGATTAAAAAAGTAGAAATGCATTTAATGAAAGAAACATAATATCGAATCTTCTTACTAATATTATAAATCAGAAAGTTTGTGAGTTTGTGTGTATGTTTGTGTGTATGTTTGTGTGTGTGTTGCTCAATCACGCATAAACTACTGGACGGATTGGGCTGAAATTTGGAATGATGATAGCTCACATTCCCGATTAACATTAAAGCATATTCTTATCTCAATAACCCTTTCGGGCTCCGCCCCAGTGGCTCTGTAGTTCCCCATGTTAATCTTATGATTTTCCATATTTAAAAGTAATTAATGAATCTTAACAGCTGTTTCAATTAATAAAGTTGGTTCTGTTCTATGATGTTCAATAGCATTAAAGTTACAAGGATTACCAACAGGGTGCAGCACTACTATTTTTTTTTTTATTTATGACAACAGCTAATTTCCAACCAAAAGGTGAGTGAGCGTAGCGAACGAACTTCAACCTGGAGGCGAGTTAGCGTAGTGAACGAGCTAACCTGAAGGCAAGTGAGCGCAGCGAACGAGCTCCGACCTAAAGGTGAGTGAGCGTAGCGAACGAACTTCAACCAGGACGTGAATGAGCCATGCGAATACTTATGAAGTTAAACGGGGCGAAGCCCGCGGGTACAGCTAGTGAAATATAAACATTATCAATAATAAAACATCTAGTAATAAATTAATATTAACATCTTGAAATCAAAGAGTTTTAAAGAGATATTGTAGGACTGTTTATAAGTAGGTACTGAACAATACTGTACGCATTCGATCAGTGGTAGTTTACAAATGGCCTGCAATACAGTAGGTACCACTTTCTCTGTTCCCTGTTATTTGATCAATGGTCATCATCCGAATTTTCCCTTTTGTAACATGATTTTAAGAGAATAATATATATTTAGCAAGCATACATCATGGTTACAGTATTCCCGGAAGGTTAACAGAAACAGCAGGTGATCTCTTATGTCAGGCTGTTGAGGAGGTGGTCTATTGCAAACAAAATAAGTAAGCTATATGCTGTAAAACTAGTCTATCCAATTTACAGATATGTTGTTAAAACGTAAGTGTATTAAGTGAAGGAGAGAGTTTTGTTCATAATAAATTCTTTGCCTGATGATATCTTTATGATGAAATCTTTAGGACTACCTAACAAAAGAAATATTTTATTCCTGTATCAAAGTTTTTTAATTATTTATTATTATTTTTTTATATTATAATGCCCTAACATTTGGTTCTGGGAAAATTCTTTTACGTAATGTATTTTTAAGTTAGGGATGAATATGTTTTTAAGTTTATGTCCAAAAAATATGATTACTTTTTACAAGAGCAAAATAAAAAAATAATTTGGTCAGATTAAGCAAATAAAATAGCAAACTAGCGGTTACTTGAATAATAGAGGTTAAAAAATTGAATTTTTTGCTTAGTTTAAGCAGTGGGATTGTAGTATTATTAAATCATATCTGAGCCCTATGTTTGTCTCTTTCACAAATGTAATGTTATGTCTCTGGCTTCTGCGGATATGATAATATAAGGTTGTGTTTTGTACTTACCTTTACCAACTAATTGTCATCCTCCTCGCCGCCAACGGCTGTTGTCGCTACCGTGGCTGGAGTGCTGTTCTCACGTCGCTTCAACACGCAACACGCGCAGTACCCATGACGTCACAGTGTGGTATTGATTGTCGCCGATCTGACCGCGCAACTCCTCATATTAAGCTCTTCACCGCACTGAATGCATAAAACATACACAAGTGGTCAACGAGGGAACTAGGGGGGTTTGTTTACTCGGAGAGACAATAATAGGTTATAGTAGGCAAGTGATGAGGCAGGGTAAAAAAAAGTTAATCCTACTGTTAGTATAGGCATAGATTAAAGGAGTAGACAGTTTGGATAGTCCTTTAATCTAAGGTAGACCTTAATCAACAATTGTTAAGCTATCCATTTACCTTTCCTTTCAATCGCTACTAAATTTTAAAAAATGTACTTATGACAAGTCATTTAAGCTTAAATTTTATCGGATTAAGAAAATATAATGGAATATTGACTGACCGGATCATGTAGCACTGAACCAAATATAAATCATCAATTATATTACTGAACCACGAAACCCTTGCTCCATGGTGAGTAGTTAAAGGCAGGTATGTGTAATGATGTGAACGATTTTCCATTATAAGCTAGGTTTATAAGTTTGGGTGAGAAGTTGTGCAAGCTTTCTGTAAAAAAATCAAAATTGCAAGTAAACAGCTAATTCCTTCGGTACTGGCCCCTTAATGATTAGAAGCCAAATGATAAAGGAATGTTGATCCCTCCCAGTTTAGATAACTTCAGAAGTGAATCCCTCTCGCATGTCCTCTAGGCCGCAACAACGCTCTCCCGGCAAACCGAAACAGCTGTTGTCCTAATATAAGGTAAACGCACCAGTAGCTGACAGTATAAGAAACTATACTGTACGCACTTAATAATCTGTGGTTTTGAATAAATAGGAACTAAAGAGATATTACGGATTTTATATGATTCTAAATTTAGTGTAGTTTTCAAATTTGTCATACAAAAAGGGCTTTTTAAATATATTTTATAACATTTTTAAACTTAATTCAACCTTTGTACGTGTTCCAGTGGCTGACAGTGAAAAAAGTGCTTGTACCAGTAGCTGACTGTCAATTGTCCCAGTAGCTGACACTGGAACCATAAATGTACTAGCTGCTAAACCTAAGGGTTTTATAATTTATAAGACGAATAAAATCTAACTTAAAATAATTAAATTATAAAATCATGTAAAACGTTATTAAGAAAATGTATTTTACATATTTTAAAATAAAAAATATTTATATTAAAAAATATATATATTTTATATATATTTAAAAAATATATATACATTTTTTAAAGATAATTTGGCTTATTAATTAAAAAATTAAAATGTATGTTATGGGGTCTTATTTCTTTATTAAATGCTATTTTAAGGTGTGGTTGAGATCACATAAACTATAAATAGCATGCAAATTTCGATGGGTAAAACCAATTTAATGTTGTGCAAGTAGCAAATAGCTAGTGGAACTTCTTAACAGCTATTTTTAATGCTCAAAAGTAAGTAAGTTTGGTGTATTGCATGCATTTACTTATTGTTAAAACATATTTATAGAACAGATTGTTTACAAATAAAAAAGGAAAAAATTGGAAGGATTTGTGATTTAATTTGAAGAAGATTGACATACAAAATTGTTCATTCAAATTCATTAATTAGAAGTTTTGAAACTTCAAGATTGAAATTTGAAAAATAAAAAAAAAATATATGTAAATAAGGGAGATGACAAAATTATGGTTTCCATTACTTGCCAGATTTAAAAGCCACACACTTTTCTATAAAGGCCATTAAGGTTAATTTTTTTTACTAAAAGCTTTGGCGGATGTGTAGCTAATTTATACAACAGATGTAAAGATACACATTTTTTACATTTCGTGTCCTCTTCCCGTTGCAAAGCACGGGTACAACAGTTAGTATATGCCTACCAAACCGTCTCAGAGCCGGTGGCATTCCTCCTCTTCCATCTCGCGAGGGAGGTAGAGGTGATATCCGCAGGAGACCTGAAGTTGGTAGAGTGACTACTGCTAAAGAAGAGCGCGACCGCAGTTTTAATCGCTGGCAGCGCAAATGGACCGCCAGGCTCATTCCCAGCATCCGACTATGGGTGGATCGGTGGGGAAAACCACCAGCTGGGACACTCTGTACTGGCCTGGAATTACATTTTAATCGTTGGGGCTATGTTCCAGGGAGAAGGCACCTGCAACTGTGTCAAGCAGTTCGTCGTGGCCATACTTCGGGCTTAGAAGGTCAATCATGATCGGCCTTAGCTTTTGGAAAAATAAGAAGAAAATGAGAAGGAAAGGAAGAAGGAGGAAAGGAAGAAGAAGGAAAGGCACAGTTAAATGCCTAACCCGAAATTATATGGTAAACAGTTCCAGGCTAGTGCACTAGGACTAGGAGATAAGGTGTTTTTTATCCGGTAGTCCGGAGACATTGAGCCCGTGGGGTCCAGCACCATTGAAAGAACATTGACCCCCTCAGTGTGCGCAATAGTATATTTCGTACCAAGGGCCGAAAATGAGGTTTTGCCGGCTCGAGATAGTTTTTAAGTTCGAGACGAAGTCGAGAACTTAAACGATCGAGAGCTGCAAAACCATTTCGGTCCGTGGTACGAACGCTATTTTTCACCACACTATACCCTATTACCACTATTCACCACTATAATAATGCACACTGATCGTCAACACAACTACAACTTTAGAAATAATTTGAGGAATCAGCAAAAATATAAAGAAATAGTTGCTAGGCAACGGTGACAATAACACAATTCTATATTGCAATGGTATGGATTTTGATTGTGTATTTAAAACGCATTCATGTTCTAAGTAAGTAAGCGGACAGCTGATTTTGCGGCCCCGGCCTGTAAAAACCTGCTCGGTCCCCAAATTGGCGACAGCTGGCATGGCCAGCAAAACGTAACTTTCAGCCACCAATTAACGTATGTAATACAGCCAAAAACATCATAGTGTGGTGAAAACAAATTTTACCTCATCCCCTAAAAAAAAATACTTTTCAATATGAATTCCGTTCTTACAAAAAGGTTAAGACTAAATTTAGCTAAACAAAAAAATGGCACAAGTATAATAGGAACAGATTGATTTAAAACAATTAATTATTATTGAAAAAAAGGTAACACAACATAATAAACATAACCGGATGTTACAGGCGGACGTGTTTCTTTTTGTATTAAAAAGTTGGCGCTTCACACTCATTGTTGCCTGTCAATGCATAAGTTGCTAACCAATTCAGATGAACGACGGTCAATCCATTATTTGCTGACGTTTGCTGCACTTCATCATCTTGATTGAGCGGAGCGAGCGAAGCTCTTTGAGACCGGACCTTAAGCAAACTATGTAATAAATTAACTCAATAACGGACGAACATATTTAATCCAAACTTTTCAGGGTTATTTTGACAAATGGTGTATTAAGCATACAAATTGCAATTAGATAATGTCTGTACAATTTAAAACCAACATACTGTAATGTTTTTAGCATTAGCCTTATGGGTTGCCATGAATCCTATGCTATTTAACGTATGGTCAAAACACACTTTTACCTTCCCCGTAGCAGCAAACCTAAGCACTCGTTCAATCTAATGTTATTAAATTGGGAATAAATAAGTCGTATTTATGGAAATATTTTTGTGAAAATGTAATCAGACAAGTTGAAATTCGCGTAGTCTGCAGGTTTTCTGTGGCAGGGGTATTTATTATTACTTATTATTACTTAATATTCTTATTATTATAATTTGTGTAGTATCATACAAATTGATAAAATTTGTGCCCTGATTTTTAAGATAATAGGGGATGGCTTTCTTAAAAAAAGTAATACAAGTTTTCCGTCATTTTATTTTTGCTTAATGTGATATTTTCATAATGAGCTGCAGGTGATTCCTGACAAAAGTTCAGTAAGTAGGGTACAACATAGGCCTATCTATTTTTGTGAAATAATTATAAATTGTGTTTTGCTTTAATACAGTACCCTATGTTGTGCAATTCTTTTTTTACCTATCAACTTTAAATATGTACGTTTTTTTACTAACTAAACTTTTAAGTAGGCGTAATGTTTGAAAATTAAATCGTATGTTACAGTATTTTCATACATGCATCAGAGCCTCATATAATTTTTACTTGGAAGTCTTATAGGCTAAGTTAGCCTAGCTTGAAAGAAATGTATTTTTTCAAACTAAGAGGTCCAGTGAATTTTTTTCCTGAAATCGACGGTGGATGTGTAACTATTTAATACAACAGATTTAAATATCAATATTTTCTCTTCAGTGTCTTCTAAGTTGTAAAGCACAGATACAGCAGCTAGTATATCTACTGTGGGTGTAGGAAAGGGTCGCCGGAATTTTACCCCCTTGGCAAAGCTGACGTCACTATGACGCTGACGTATTAACCTGAGCTCTCAAAAGTTTGCTCGCGGGCGTAATTTAACCCCCGCGGATTTTGAAGTCTAATGAAAATAGACAGAGCGTGATTAATTAGATTATCAATAAAAACCGGAATTTTACCCCCTGTCCATATAACTAGCGTTTAGACAACTGAAGATGTACGGGCCGGATTTTTACCCCCGGAATTTTACTCCCTGGCCGGATATAGAAATTATTAAACTATAAATTATAAAATTATGAAATTAAAGAGTCATAACTCAACCAAACCAACCAAACTTGCTGATTATGAAAAAATCTAATAAAGGTTTAGGCATACTAATCGATAAACAGTTCTGATCATCTATCTATCTATCTATATATTAATAGGCAAGCATGTTTCTTTAAAACCTTTTTTCTCAGCTTGTGTGCATCGTGGGGTAAATCTGCGCATACCGTTAGAAAGCAATTTTCCTGTAGGTGTGCAGAATCCCTTTATAAATTTAAATAGGCTCAAAGATAAGCACAAAAAATGAGATTGAAAATTTGAAAAAATTAACATGGATTTTATGCGTTGCCATGCTGGTGACGAAATAACAACGAAATATAAACAGAAAATCAAAACAAATGGAAGAAACTCCAATCACATGTTTTATTTACAGTGTGGGGTGAAAATAGAGAAGTGAGTACATTACAT